CCAGCAAAGACCAAAAATTTTATGAGCGTGGAATTATGCTACTACCAGAAAGATGGCAAAAGGTGTTGGACCAGAACGGTCAATATATAATTTAATAAAGTATTTGTTTATTATACGAAAACTGTCTTTCATTTCCACAAAAAAAAACGAAATGACTTTCCGAACAACCCTATAAAAGCAACCGCATCTCCGGCAATCGCGAAATCTGCCCTGAAGATGCAAATTTTCTAAGCCCGTTGGATTACAGGAAATCTCCCGAGCTCGCGTGAGTTCCGGTTAGGAAAAAAGGGAATTACGTATGCGGAAAAGATAAATCATTAGTACTTTTATTTTTGTTGTACTTTGTACTGTTAGCTAATTGATTCGTTATCCCACTTGTTATTTCCTCTTTTAAATAGTTTATAAATTAAACACATCATATAATTGTAGGCATTTAATAAACTCATAATTAGTTTTATTACATTGTATTAATAANTGTGGAAGGCAACGGGAAACCACCACATTATGATCCCTAGTAAAACGTTCAACTACTGAAATTAAATGATGGCGACCTCTAGGGTAAAGCACTCCGGACGTAAACTAGTTTCCCATTGGGATGTCCGGGCGGGGACTACCTCGGGGGATGTTGTCAATAAGTGCAATAGGGGAAGGTGCAATATTTCACGAGTCGGAGCGTGGAATGTTAGGAATGTTAGGCAAGTAGGGAAATTGGAAAATTTGAAGTTTGAGATGAATAGACTAGAATTAGATAGATATGGCCCGAAGCTGGAGACTGGGGTTGGACACTTTAGAAGGTAATTCGGGGGTAGGAATTGTAATGCGTGAGAAAGCAGGGCAGAGTGTAGAAAGTTATTTACAGGCGAATGGTGAGGATACCGTGGATAAAGAAGATTAGAAATGAAGAGTTTTTAGAAAGAATAGGAGAACAGAGGACTCTACGGAAGTTAATAAGAAATAGGCGAGATAGGTTGATAAGGGCACCGTCTTAGGCGTGAAGGTCCAGTCGGAGACATAACGAGAGTTAGGAGAACTAGAGGTAGGCCTAGATTAGATTACTGTTACCGCAAATAGTCAAGGATGAGGGATGTTCTAGTTTTAGGGAAATGCGAAGATTAGCTGAGGATAGGAAGGAGTGGAGGTGCGTGTCGAACCAGTCTTAGGACTGACGACCTTATGATGATGATGTTAGATTAGAATAGCTTATTTAATATAGATATATATCTTCCATTTTGGGATATGACTTTTGCAATAGAACAGGATTGTTAGTCCTAATGGAAATAATATTGTTAATGGATAAATGCTGACTGATATGAAATGCTTAGCAATCTGTTTTATTACTCCTGGTCCCTCAGCATGAAAATGACCTTGTTGCAGGTAACAAATGTGAATACCGAAAATATGTGTTTAAGTATTTTACCGTTATTTTCAATTTTAAGCTGACGAATTTGTCATGCAAATGGCACTTTCAACAGATGTTCTCTGAATAGTTGTAGTATATAACAATTTACCAATAAATTATTGAAAAAGTAGTATAATGTGCAAATTTGCGAAATGATGCAAATTTCTCATACATTTCGGGGATGGAGGTTAAAACCCCCAAAACATTCGCGCCTGGTAATCTGTTTAGATTATGAAAAGGTTTATAAACTTCATAAAGATTTTGATTAATTTTATCGTCAAATAAAATGTATATTTTTAGTAATTATTGTAAACGATTGTTAATTTTTTACTACACAATTGTAGCATAATTATCACTGTTTTACCGTATGTTTCTCAATAAAGACTTCTTTGTTACAGATGTATCTCAAATGGAACCTTGCCCTCCTGACAGCATTACATTCGGTGACAAGTGCGAGTGTTTTCACGAATTATGCGAAAAACCATTGTGCAACTACACTCTTACCCAATTGACCGATTCGACGGACGTTCCTGGTCGATGCTGTCCCATTTATTCCTGCATCGGCTGTCCCAACGACACCACAATTAACGACCAGTGTCCGTGTGCCGAAGGTGCAGTGATATCTTCCTACGGAAAATGTGAATGCGTCGACCCCACTAAGACCCTAATCGATGGCAAATGCACATGCGATCCAGAAAAGTGTCAATTGCCACATCTCTGCGACAAGAACTCCGTTGAAGTTAAAGAGAACGACAATGAGGGTTGTTGTACCGTAACAAAATGTATTCCGTGTCCGGAGGACAGTCATCCTACAAGCTACGAAGACCAAGCTGTTGAAGATAAATGCGTGTGCTTGCCTTGTCCTTCGAAAACGTGTTCTCAAAATGAAACCGCCATCGTCTTTCGACGAGGAAATAATTTCCCTGGGACGTGTTGCGACCTTTATACATGCGAACCTGTTGGAGAAATAACAGGATGCAAGAGCAACGGCACTACTTACAAAGAGGGTGACACCTGGAGTCCTGTAAAGGGCGAAACATGTCACTGTCAAAACGGAATATCTATTTGCTCATCGACAGAAAATGACGAAAAACACGAATATTGTATCTCAGATGGTAAGATGGTGTCCCATGGAACCTCCTGGCTCGAAGATGACGAATGTACCAACTGCACGTGCTTTAACGGCGAGACCAAATGCATATCATACTTTTGTGACGTTCTGGAAGGTAAAATAGACAACCCATCGAAAGAAACCCATGCATCCTGTGTAACAGACGATATAACCCATGCTCACATGGATTCCTGGACATCCGTAGATGGTTGTTCTCACTGTGTATGTTTCATGGGCGAGATCAAATGCACTCAACAACCATGCAAAGAAGAATCTGGTTCAAAATCGTGCTTGATGGAAGGAAGGTCGTACGATCATGAAGAAACATGGTCCAAGGGTCTCTGTACTAGATGCACTTGTACAAATGGAGAAATATCTTGTACCAAAAACGAATCGTATTGCAATAATATGTGCGTTTCGAAGGATAATGTAACTTATCCTGAAAAGTCTTTATGGAAAGAAGACGATTGCACTAGCTGCACGTGTATTTTTGGCAATGCGAAATGTACAAATATTTGTGTCACAACTGCTCCAGACTGTCCTCCTGTTGAGCCATGCAAAAAGAAGTGCGAATATGGTTACAAAATGAACAGAAAGGGGTGCGAAATATGCAAATGTAGAGCTCCTATAAACGGTTCTTCCTTCAAAGAAGACTACCCAATTCTAGTTTCTGTATTCAAAAAGTACAACCTTTCGGAAAGTGATGCGATTAATATTTTAAAAGGCGCTATTGAAAAAGGAAGCAACAGTTATACTACAAATGTGAACAAAGAGGATGAAAAGGAAATTGGAGAAAATGACGGCATTCCGAAAACGACAACCAATTCAAATTCGTTTCTGGAAAACCCTTCTTCTTCTGATGTTCCTGCAGAAGAAAACGTTAATGAAGGTAAAAAAATATATAATATATTTATCGTAGTAATTATAATTCAGTAGTGTGAATCCAAAAAAACTGCTATTCACGATATGAATGTTGTTGAATTTCTTTTGCTTTTTGTTTAATTATTTCGCTATTCGTTATCATCATAAGGTCGTCAGTCCTAAGACAGATTGGAAGATTGGACACGCACCTCAACTCTTTCCTATCCTGAGCTAATCTTTGCATTTCCGTAAAACTAGAACATCTCACATCCTTAACTAATTAACAGTAATTAATTTAGGTCTATCTCTACTCCTTTTAACTCCTGTTTGTGCTTGTAATATGTCTCTGACTAGCCCTTTATGCCTGAGAAGTTCCACCGACCTATTTCGCCTATAGAGTAAGGTGACCATACGTCCCGGATTGGCCGGGGACAGTCCCGGATTTCCACTTTGCGTCCCGGATTGCTCTAGAAGCAATATTTGTCCCGGATTGTCCCGAATTTTTGAAAAGGTTCTTTTTTTCATTATTTATTTTAAATTTATTTCAACTAGAATTATTTTTACAAAATTTGAACCGAAAAAATTGTGCATATCAAAATACGCGGCACGCTTTAAACCACTTGAAGCATACAGTGAACTCTCGATTCTGCGAATCCCCTTCCACCTAA